TATATATATATATATATATATATTTGTAAAAAGCATTTGTTAAGAAAGCAAGCCTTTCAAGTAGGATTGAAATACTCTTTTATTTTAATTTCACTCTATAAGTAGGTATCGGCGGGACCTGCCTAATATAATTATAGTTAAGATTAAGGAATTTTTAATTTTATAATATCTATTGAAGTACCAAAGACAAACGGGGATTATGTAAATAGAAAATGTCTATTTGCCCACCCTCAAAATGCTTTTTAATTTGATAAAAAATTTGGTGAGGTGATGTCCTAATTCTAGTGATGTTAAAGAAGTTAAAGATATCAAAGCTGTAAAAGAATTATCAATTGACTCTATTGTTTCTAGCCATTAATTCATTAAGTACCTCTAAAAAATTAATTGTTGCCTAATTAACTTTTTTTTTAACTTATAGTTTATGTATGACTAATAAGTATTGCCCCTATCTGCTAGGCAAAAGCATATATCCTCGTTGTTTTGTTAGGACCTTTCAACATTCAAAGTTAATTTAAGGAGCAATATTTCTTGCACAAATATGTGTATATTGCAACTTGCTATTTTGAAGCTTCAATTGGACTTTGACATTTTTATATAAGAGGAAGAAGAGCAATAGGCACATAGAGCTGAGAAGCCTTTCTGTTAGAAAGCAAGGTATATGTACTTCAGAAATCTCATTCCAATTATTTAAAGGTAAATAATTGGATGATCCGACACACAATCAGCGATATTAGCTCTGGAACTGGTGTAGAAGGGTGAGAATCCAATGTCTCGACTCGTATATTTTGCCATGTCTAAGTATAAATTCCAAGTGTTGAAATGACAAGCTTAGGTCAATCAAATACAATTGCTGCATAAATAGTTTAATTAGCTGAGTGACTCAAGTGAGCCTCAAATCCAGAAGAATGATTGTCCTTGCTCTACAACTATAAATAAAAATCTTCTACATGGTCAAAGAACACATAGAAAGCTAAATAGAAGCTAGAGAAAACTCTAAAGAACAAAGCATTCTAAGTCTTCCTTCGCGGCCTAGTTCAAATCAAGATTCAAAGCGAGGATGCCACAAGTTCTGGACACGATCAAGTAATTGGAACTCAAGCTAGGTGACTTTACAAAATCCAGCATTCTTTAATCCTCCATTCACATAGAACATCGATAGGAATGCCTTCAACTCAGGATCTTCAACTTGAGGACAGAGATTTAGGTGCTACTATCAAGAACTTCATGTGCTGCTCCAACTTTGCAATTAGACACAGAATTTACTTATGCCAGGCGGACAATTTCAATCTGAGAGAAGACAGTGAATGTAGTTAGATGTATCTTATTTCGTAAAACGGATATAACAGAATGGTGATACAGCAATGCGTATTAGCATCCAAGTTGTTTACAATATAAACTTCCCCCAGCTTAATGCGAGAAAATGGCAAAAAAAGGGCTCTTATGTTCGGAAGTAGGTTTAAAATAATCCCTTAAATATATACTCTTGAGCAGTTTTAGTCCTTGTAAAAATAACTGGTTAATCTCCGTCAAATATTTAACAAACTTTGAAGGTTAGATTTAACGGGAACTGTGAAAGAAAGATCTAACCAGAACCACCATGAAAGTCCCGTCAAAATCAGAAACTGCAACATCAAAAACACCATACATCAATCACGTACCTAAAAAAGACAGATGACACATGCATTCTCTAAACTGCAGAATTAGACGATTTCTTCTTTCGCCGTCTGTTTTTAGGCTTAACAGCATCTTGTAAAGTCTTCTCTCTGCTTGTTGCCATTTCTTTTCCAGCTGACTCAGTCAATGATGATACTGGACTAACATCTGAAAGTGGTTCATCTGATTTTCTTTCGTCTGTAATATCATCACCTAAATTGTCTAGCTTCATAGGCACTGCTGCTGAACCTATAAAGTATAATCATCAATATATCAAGCCAGCTTATTCCCAATCTTTCATATTTGTTTCAAGAGAGAATGATCAAACTTTGACACAATTTTCATGTTCTCACAAGCTCCTTACTTTCTTGGTGGTACCCATTTTCATGTTCAAAGATCAGGATCATAGAATGACAAATCTAAAATTTGGCTCAACCATGCAGGGACAAAGAATTGAAAAGATGTATCCTTCAAAATAATAACATTCATGCAATAATTAGGTGCTAAAAAGAGAAATAGTCAACACCAGACGCATAACCTCCTATGTTTATTTGTAAACATATCACAAGATTGATTAGAAGATCAATTTCAAGGCAATACACGCCACTGTGCTGTCAAATGCCTTGATTTTCAAATTCCAGGCATCAAAATTGTAAATGGCCACCACCCTCCCTGCCAGAATCCCTCAACGAACCTTGACTGACCTCTCTACTCTACTAGTCCAGGTATCACTGACACTTCTAAATCTCTCTCAAACATCTATTTAAGAATTTAGTCTAGATTTAAGAGGGTTCTCAATTGTGATGTAGTTTCCTTCTACCTCTTATGGATTCACCAGCTTCACATCTCCTAACGGTCATCCTTTAATAGAAACAACTCGTGTGAAGGACAAAACACCTTCTCTTACCCTAAATTCCAAAGTTTTAACATTTTGTGAGCAATTTCCCATCCAATGTCATGTACAATCTCCTGAGATGATCTTCTTCGATCCCCTGTACCATCTTTATTCTTATGAAGTGGTTGTTGAATTTTTCAAACATGTAACTGAAGATCCGTTCCTCTCCACCTTTTGCATATTTAGCCAGCAGCTTCTGAGGCCAGCTTCAAAATAAAACACCACCACCCAGTGATGTTACTGAAATGAATGTTGCTAGCTAAGTTCTTCTCTTCTCTATCAAATCAAACCATCCTATAGAATTCCTGCTATTTTCTCTCAAGTCAACGGATTTTCCACTTGCTGCATAAACAGTTCTCCGTTGATCAGCGATAAATTTGAGCTATTATGGTTTGAATTACATTTCATGTTACTGTATCACAAGACTTTAGTTATTCTGTAAACCAACGCCGAAGCTCTGTATTTAATGGAAAGACGGGGCTTATCCAGTAGAGTTCTTAGCTAAAACAATGTGAAATATTGGAGGAACTAACTTTGGGTAGGTCAATATTGATTAAAAGGATAAGGAAATCAAGAAAAGTTGGGGTCATCAGAAAAGAGGAGCTGATTGGGGAAGATGTGATGATCGACAAGGGAAGGTTTTTTAAAATTCAAGATAGAACAAAGAGCTTCTCTTTAGCTCTTGAGTAACACAATGTTGAAATTTTTTTATTTTTTATTTTTCATTGTTTGATTATAATGTCAATTTTTTTTTATTATTATTTTTTTATATATTTTGACTGATAATGTTGAATTTTTTATGTTAAGCCATGTTAAATTATTTGAAAATTCTTATGGTTTATAATGTATGCTTTTTCTTATAAGCTTAATATAAGCAATTTTTGTTACTTGGGGTCATTTCTTTAGCAAGTACTAACTGACACATGAAATTGATGGAATGTGATTTGTATAGCTGACAACATACATAAAATTTCATATCTTCCTATCTAACATTGTTTGCATGCCACAGAGAGTTTTTTGGATAACCGAGAAATCCCTAAGACAGTGGCGCACAGTTCGAAACTCGGTGGATAATGAGCCTGCCGCTCTACCCTTCTCTACTTAAATACCAAGCTTTTGCTTGCGTGCGGGTTCGAACCTGTGACGTGCGCCTAACAAACACATCATGTGTTGCTCTCTTACCGCTAGAACAAAGATAGTTTTCCTTATCCGCAAATCAAGAGACGTATCAGACTGACATTCTATTTGTAAGCACTTAGATTAAATTAAAAATTGTTTGATAGTCCTCGTATAATTTCTAAATTTCCTTTGACAAGTGAAGCTGGACAATCCCACAGAAATAAAGTCTCTCCCTGTTACGAGATTAGCAAAGTCTTTGAATCTTTAACAAATGTATAATAAACCATGCATACAAAGAATACATGAATTATCCAAAAACTATACACAGTTCAGATTATCAATATCCATAAAAGCTCATTTAGTAATTCACATTCAGTCCTGTTTGCAGTATGTTGAGCCAGAGAACAATCATAGCACACAAGGAACTCCAAGCTTACACTTAAAACTAAATCATAAAACTCACCACGAGAAGCAAGAGTAGCTTTCAATTCATCTGTGTTAACACCCTCTGAATATGGATCCCTAAGCAAGAGAAAGGAAATTTTTGCAGTGAGTTAGCAAAATCAACTATTAACATGTCCAAACAAGTTTATAAGTGCATTTTAAGATGGAGATATGCATTAGTTCTTTCAAAGCAAGAATATACGAACTGCTTCTCTGAATGATAGCTTTGGGTTTCCATGCTAGATTACACTTGTGCATGTAAAGAAGCAAACCTCTTAGCCCAAAGACAGCAGCCCGGGGCATTTTGGCAACTTATATATGCATTAATTGCACCGCATATGAATATTTTTCTGGTAAACAAACTCAGAATAAGACAGGACCAAGATTTACCAACTGGAGGGCCCGCCTGTGAAACGCTGGTTCTTATCACTCCTCTTCTTGACTCTACCTTGCTCAACATCCATGTCATCGCTCTGACTAACACTGCACTCTTCTGATTTTAATTTTTTCCCCTCCAAGATTTGCTTAGCCTTATCAGTAAGGAGATGGAAATAAGAAAACAGAACACTGAAGTCTTAAGACTGAAATTCAGTTGACTGAAAAATCTTAGTCAAAATTCTAACTGCTGAAAATTAAGTTTGCTTCAGCTAAAGACTGAACATTGTAATGAAACACATACTTTCTAACAATTTACTGGCAAATACACGATTTGATAGAATTGTGATTTCTTTTCCTAGCAATATACACCATTTTTCAGATTTTGGTGAGAATGGAACTTGATTTCAAAAGATAAACCATTTTAACTAATCGTCACTACCCTTATTGAATAAGTCTAAGGGTAATGACTCTAATCAGTCAATACAATGGGTTCTACACATACATTTGGCTAATGAAAATGCCTCCATGTACCTTTTGATCTGGTTCATTGACATCAACTGCATTAATATTTGTATGTCGCTTGACCATTTTGAGAGCTCTCTCTGTGTTGTAAGATTCAACCTACAAAAAGAATACATTACAACCTATTAGGCATCAATCTACCAACCACTTGTACAGGTTGGTCAACACAAACTTATCCCAACTCATAAATGCATCCAACATGTAACAAACTAAATCATACTTTCGCCATTCATGATAACACTAACTTGAATATTTTTTATTTTTTGACTCCATTTCAGAAAAAATAAAAGAATAAACAAAAAGAGAAACAAAATTGAATTGCCTTCTTCTTCACAGAGCTTTCATCCAAATACAAAACCAAATTTATGTAATTCCAAATAAACCAAAATATAGTAAATTATAACAAAGATATTTTCACCAATTTAAGTGTAAGTTCTTGATAGTCTCAGAGAAAATGAAGTGGCACATGGTAGTGGCAAGGGCAAAGCAGAAAGATAGACCAATAGTAGCTCTAATTGGGAAAAGAAAGGGGCTACGGATTTAAAAAACCAGTCATCATTCAGCAGAAAAGGCATGAAGATTACAGAACCAGACTCCAGTAGCACTTGAAAATTAGTCTGCACTACCATATACTTACAGCGGTTTTAATTTTGCTAGTTATTAGTCTGCACTACCATATACTTACAGCGGTTTTAATTTTGCTAGTTATTAGTCTGCACTACCATATACTTACAGGCGGTTTTAATTTTGCTAGTTATTAGTCTGCACTACCATATACTTACAGCGGTTTTAATTTTGCTAGTTATTAGTCTGCACTACCATATACTTACAGCGGTTTTAATTTTGCTAGTTATATCTCCGGCCTTCACTGAGGCTATGCGTAGACACTGCATGACAACACTTTGCATGGTACCCTGTCCTCCAGGCTTTTGAAATGCACAGACTTCGCCATTTGTGTTAAGGGTGACGGACATTCTTCCTCCCATAACAGCTTCTTCATGATGTGTTGGATCTATAACCTACCAATACTAGTTGATTAGAAGAAATTTGCATTTGATTTTTTAATACCATGCAACTAAACAGCATAAAACGATTAAAAGAGGAAATTTTAACAGTTGCATACCAAATTCTCGTCTCCAATAAATGCAAAAGTTACNAAAAACATTTTCTTTTGAAGAATTGGTTTAACTGATGATTATGTCCAAGGAAATATTACTTAATGCAACCCCCAAAAAAATTGAGGGAAATAAGCAAGAAAGGGGACCTCGGGCGGATGCAGTATCACTTCCTGCCTGTCATCTCCTCCTAGTGTACATTCAGGCCTCCGAAATGTCAAAAGAGCAGCTAAAGCAGCAACATTGGCAGCATCAACAAGATTACTGCACTTGTAGAAATCACATAATTAGTTTCATAACTTCAGATGGAGACGTAGATGGGCACTTAACTGGGCCCAATTATAAACCACTGCAACTCACCCTCCATTGTCCAAAATATGGAGATCAATACGAATTGACCAAACCCACTTCCCAGCCACAACACAGAGTGATTCAGTGTCCACAGCTCTGCTTTCCCTGCATTTAGGCATCAGCATAAAAGAAGACTTAACCAAAGACAACAATGTCTTTTCTTCAAATTATGTACTTATCTCAGCAAAACAAAGCAAGTGAGCTTTATTGTTCGCTTTCTACAGACAAATAACAATACATGATACCTTCAAAAAGATCTAATGCAAAAGCTCAAAAAGCAAACAAGTACTACTACAATGGAAAAGAAGCAGCAGTGCTCAAAAGTTATAAGCACTTCTCAACCGCAAGACAAAGAAATACTATATTTCTCCATGGGATAGTAAAACCTTTTCTTGTAAAATATACATCTTATAGTTTTTTTAAAAAGACCATATATATCTCATAATATATTTCTCGATGCGTAACATTCTCTTGTCGAAGGGAGACATATGCTTCTTGGAGAGAATAGAAAAGGAAATGTTACCTTAACCCTCTGTCAATTATGCGACCCAGCTCCACAGCATACTCTGAAGGACGGCCTGCCTCAAATGAAGGATCAGCCATCGGAGAAAACTCAGTAAATACTGAAAGGGTTCCTTCGTTTGGTCGATCTCGATAAGGTTGCACTAGTTGCGACGTAACAAATCCCATAACATGAGTTTGCCCCAGTTGAACTTCCGACGAGCCATCTTCTCTGCAAATCAATAACCCTTAGCACTTATAACACAAGTTCTTATATGAATCGCACAAGCATACATAGCTAAATTATCTCCTTATACCATAATATGCCAAACATGTGCGATATAAAAGTTATACTGGAAGCGCGACACTGAGAGGTACAACAAATAACAATTAAGGATACAGAAAGAACTTTAATCCATGGGATTACTCAAATCATTTGAAATGAACGTAACTTATGATAAGAAGAGGTTGAAAGTTTCAAAAGCAGTCCATAACATAAAACCTACAACTGTGATAGATATATCCGTATGGAGTCTTCTTCTCTAACATTAAAGTTCTATCTTTCCAAATGTGTTACAAAGCGACAACCAAACAAACAGAAGACTACACTCGCTGATAGTTTCTGTTTCAATACCTCCACATACTATGTCCAGTATCCATCTCAAATTCCACGTGTCCGGGCTAGCTTGCGCGTACCTCAACTAACTCTACGGAATACCGGCTACCTCCCACCGGCAGAGGTACCTCAAAAAAGCAATTCCCTAGTCGAATTAAGGACGGTTACTATAGCTTAATGGCTAGAGTAAAAATTGACGAACTACAACTTAATATAGAGGATTCATAACCGACTTCAACTGATATTGGATTAAAGCAATTTTTTTAACAGCAGTATCTGGGGCAGCTAGTGGCACCTAACTAATTCTATGTGATACCTGCTACCTCCCACTAGGTACCTCAACAGATCAATTTATATGTGTATATTTAGCTTAATGGCTAGAGTAAAAATTGATGAACTACAGCAAATCCTCTTAATATAGAGGCTTCAAATAGCCGACTTCAACTAATTTTGGATTAAAGCAACAAAAAAAATGTGGTGTTCGGGCCAGCTTGCCCCCACCTAACTAATTCTTAAAAAAAAAAACCTTTGTATTAAAGCAAAAAAAATAAAATATTAACTATGGTGTAGGGCCAGCTGGCACGCACCTGACTAATTCTACAAAAGAATACCTCCCACCAGCAAAGGTACATATTTACAGCAGCTTAATGGCTAGAGTAAAATTTGATGAACTACAGCAAATTCTCTTAATGTAGAGGATTCATATAGCGGACCTCAACTGATTTTGGATTAAAGCATAGTTTTTTTTTAATTCTAAAAATCAAGGTAAAAAACGATATTGAATTCCAGATTCTTACCTACCGAACTTGATTGTAAGCCTCCGATAATCAAAGGGACGGCGACCGTCTATTCTCAGTTCAGATTCTAACGCAGATTCTATGAACTTCTTCTCATTCACTGTCATTCGCCATGTATTTGCTAATCTTTGCTCCATTCTCTTTTTAACTTAATTGTATTTTCAGAAACCCAAATCAGAAAAGAGCAGAGGATTATATTGTTTTTTTCCCCCCAAGTGTAGAGTTGGAGCAGGGTTTAGGGTTTTACGCCGATGTATGGCCGTTGAGTCGAGTCGGGTTTGAAATAAGCGGTTATGGGTAACGGGTCGGATTAACCTTATAATGATTTAACGTGTTATTTTAACACTTTGACCAAAAATATAGCAAATTTATAATAATGTGAGATCTGAATGGAAAGGAAGGAAAATCTACGGAAAAAGGAAAAAATATGGACGAGAAAAAAACTAATGTAATAGAACTATGAAAAGAATTATATGGAAAAAGCAAAAGTAAATATAATTAACTAGGCGATTATGATGTGTAAAAGTCATGTTTGTAGCGAGCATAGCCTTTAAAATACTCTTTTTTTTGTTTCTTATCTTGTGTTTGGTGTTTACATTGGAGCCTCGACTAATTCGGATTTGTGTCGTATAAGGCCAATTAAAGATGGAAGCGCTCTCTAACATGATATTTTTTACACCCAAAGCTTAAATTCGATACATTTTTGTGTATGTTTCCTCCTAATGATTTGGTTGTTCTGCCTTAACCAGAACTCTTGTTGTCGATCTTGATATCCTTTTTGAAAGTGCAACATACAATTGTTTAGGCAAGAAAATATATTGCGGTAAATATAGTCCAATATTTAGGATGTTTGTCCTTGTGCTTTATTTATTATATTTGCAAAACATAAACATTCTAAAAATTATTTTCACACAAATTTAAAAGGATATTGCTTAGTTTGGAAAGACGAAAGTTGAATTCAGGGATAAGAATATACTTAAGCACATTGACCAGTATTATAATTTTTGCATGTATGACATTATTGTCAAAAGTTCTATATATCATATGTGTGCTATTACATAAGCTATTAGGCTTATCTAAGTTTTTCAATAGCATGATAGGCATATTTTTCTTCAAAATTAACCTATATACAATAGAAGATCGATTTTAACTTTGTCTATTATATATACGGTGACACTAACATACGTAAGAAATAATAAATTTGACAACAAACATGTATAGTAGAAGGCCATTTGGTATTAAAGTATTTAAATATTCTTCTTGGTAGTAATTATTGGTATCATTTTATGCTGAATCAAAATCTGAAAAATATTTTATTTTTACTATAAAATTTTGCAATCAACCTTTTATTTAGTTGATCAATATATTCGTTCCTGCTAACTAAGATATCTTTTAAATTATGTCGTACAATTTACACAAATTGCGTTTTAATCTAATGATAGAAATATTTCTCTTATTAAATGCACTACAATTACCATTGGGATTGATAACCAAGTGTTCAGGAAGAACCAAGTGTTCCCGACGCGAAGCAAAAAGATACTGAATACTGGATCTGTTCTTACTTTATATTTTTTGTCAGTTGAATTTTTTTTATTTGAGGCGAGAAGTATAACTTTGGCAAGATAGCTTTTACAATCTCTGCTTTTGTCGATTTTGGAACTACTGGTAGTACTTGACAGAAATCACCTCCCAGACCATTAATTTTCCACCAAACAGTTTATTAATGTCCAATATATCTCTAGAACTCTGGGCAATTATTTCAATCATTTGACACTTAGCCATAAGTGCTTCATCCCATATTATTAATTTTGCTTTCCTTATAAATTTAGCACAATTGCTCTACTTTGATATATTTGTGATGGTTGTTTAAATTGTTTGAAGAGGTATATCAAATCTAAAGTAGATGGCCTCACAATAAAATTATTGTTGGTACACCACTTGCTATTATTGCTAATAGTATCATGCCTCTTAATATGATATTTGCAAATAATGCATGATATAGAAATATTATTTTGATTCCGCCGGAGGTATCTACAAAGAATAATCCCGTTATACCAGAGTTGACTCTTTATAACATAATCTTGAAAGCTTGTTCTTGATTAGGATTTAGCTTTGATTGTGATTCCTCAAATACTTGTATAGCATTTTGATTCTTAATAATATACTATACTTTTTACTTTGTGTTCTAACATTCTTTTATGGAATAAATTTATGTACCCTAAGATTTTTTAAAACTTGAATAAGAATTTTAATCATATGATGAATTTGAAAAATAACCGAATTAGATTCTCTTGCTAAATAATTAATTAAAAGATTTAATTATTTAGTTTTAACATAAAAAAATAATTTTTTTATTTGATTCAGATCTTAATATCAGTTCATCTCTTGTTTTGAACATTTAATCTTAATTATAATTTTATCCACCAAAAATTTTATTTTCAAGAGAAAGATTTATATGATATTTCATTCTTAGATCGTTATGTTTGTAGAATCATTAGTGGTATTGTAACGACCCGGCCGGTCGTTTTGAGTATTACAGCCCTGTTCTCTCCATTTTTTGCTTATCCTGTGTTCAATTATAATTATGTGACTTGTTGGAGAGGTTTCAGAATGAATTGGAATACTTAGTTCCAAGATTTAAAGCTTAAGTTGAAATAGTTGACCGGATGTGACTTATGCGTAAACGACACCGAAATAGAGTTTTGATGTGTGATGACCCAATATGTCATCTTTAATTTTAAACATTTATTTTCTGTGTTCTGAGACCTCGAGTAGCACCTTTCAGCATTTCTCGACTTGCGTGCGCAGTCCATAAATTTTTTTCAAAAAGTTTTTATGTGAAAAATTGATGAAAATATAAAATAGTGCTTTAAAACTCACTTAAGTTGATTTCGGTCAATATTTTGATCAAACGGACCCGGATCAGTGTTCTGATGATTTCAATAGCTCCGTATAGTAATTTTGGACTTAGGAGCGTGTCCGAAAAATTATTTGGAAATCCATAGTTAAATTAGGCTTGAAATGGCTAAAATAGAAATTTAAGTTTGGAAGTTTGACCAGAGAGTTAACTTTTTTATATCGGGGTCGGAATCCGATTCTGGAAATTTGAATAAGTATATGTATGTCATTTATGACTTGTGTGCAAACTTTGAGGTCAATCGGTTTTAGCGTTCGCGAAGAAGGGATTGGGGTATGATTCATGGTTTTAGCATTGTTTGATGTGATTTGAGGTTTCGACTAAGTTCGTATGATATTTTAGGACTTGTTTGTGTATTTGGTTGAGGTCTCGGGAGCCTCAGGTGAGTTTCGAATGGTTAACGGGTTGAATTTTGGACTTGGAACTTTGCTGGATTTTTTCTGATGCACTGTCTGGTTTTCTTTTTCGCGTTCGCGAGAGAGGTCTCGCGTTCGCCAAGGTGAACTGGAGGCAGGCGAGTTTTGTTCTTCGCGTTCGTGAAGAAGGGACCGTGTACGCAAAGTGTCGACATCAGTGTTCATCGCGAACGCGTGAAGGCGTTCGCGTTCGCGTAGAAGGGCGAGGTCAGGCCGGGTAATGGGCACTAAAGCTTCGCGTTCGCGAAGGGGAGATCGTGTTCGCGAAGGCCAAGCTTGGTAAGGCATCGCGTTCGCGAGGTTGCCTTCGCGTTCACGAAGAGTAATTTTGGGCAGCACAATTTTGTGCTTCGTGAACGCGAGGGACCTGTCGCGTTCGCGAAGAAGAAATCCTTGGACAGCAGAACTTAAATTCTGGAAATCCGTCCCATTTTTCATTATCCGCGATTTAGAGCTCGGTTTGGGCGATTTTCAGAGAGGTTTTCACAAGTTCGAACTGGGTAAGTGTTCCTTATCCTATATAGATTAAATTTCATGATTCGATACTCATTTACATCATGAATCCACGAATCTATTGAAGAAAAATCAGATTTTTATAAAATCTTCCAAAAATATAAAATGAAGATTTGAAAGGCAATCCGATGTCGGAATTCGATAATTTTTGTATGGTTGAACTCGTATCGGAACGGGTGTCCTGATTCTGTAATTTTTTCGTCAGGTTCCAAAAAGTGGGCCCCACGTTGACTTTTGTTGACCTTTCCGAAAATGACTTAAATTAATAGCCCGTTTGGACATAAGAAATTTTTTTCTTTTTTCCAAAAAAAATTTACTTTTTCTAAATCAGCGTTTGTTCATAAAATTTTTAATTTTTACTTGAAGATGCATTTTGAAAATTTTCGAAAAATTAAAAAAACTCCAAAAAGCTGTTTTTCAAAAATTTTCACTCAAATCACTAACAAAATTTCAAAAACAATCCAAAATTATATTTATGTCCAAACACAACTCTAAATTTCAAATACTATGTTCACTTGGAAAACAATTCCCCATATTTTGGATTTTTTCAATTCTTATGTCCAAACGCCCACTAAGGACCCGTTTGGCCATAGATTTTGCCAAAATAAATTTGGATTTTATTTGGCAAACACATGTTTGGCCATAGATTTTGCCAAAATAAATTTGGATTTTATTTGGCAAACACATGTTTGGCCATAGATTTTGCCAAAATAAATTTGGATTTTATTTGGCAAACACATGTTTGGCCATAGATTTTGCCTACATTTTGGCAAAATCCCAAATCTCAAATCCCAAATCCCTTTGGGCCAAAATATCACTATTATATTTTTTAAAAATTGCCCAAATCTTTTATATTTTATATAAGAGCCCACCATTTATTATTTTGTAATAATGTTGATTCGTCTTCTCGGTTACCTGATAGTGTATCATGTAATTCATTATAAAAATGATAATTTTGTAATAAATTTATTTATTTTCAAAACTATGGTTTGCGATAATATAATGAATGTTATTGATAATGGTACTATTGGGTATTTGTAATAGTTTTTAGAACTTATGGGTATAAGTCATGTTTCATGTTTTTCCAAAATAAATTTGGAAAATATGTTTTGAAAACTGATGTCCAAACACATTTTCATTTTCAAACCAAACTTCACCCAAATCAGATTTTTCAAAACAAATTTAGGAATCTATGGCCAAACGCTAGCTAAGTCTCTTTCGAATTGTGAATAATTTTTAAAGCTCAAATTGAATTATTGATAAATAATTTGCTAGGTTTGATTGGTTTGGAGGATAATTCGAAAGGAAAAGCTGTGGTCGAGTGATCACTTGAAATTTGCAAAACAAGGTAAGTGTCGTGGTTAACCGTGTCTTGAGGAAATATAACCCTTGAATTATTTGTTAAGTGAATTTCATGTGTAATGACGTATAGGCGAGGTGACGAGTACCTATACATCGTCA